GACCTGCAGTGGGCTTTTGCTTCGTGCCGCGTCATGGGCGGGGAGGAAGGTGCTTGCATGCTTTTGACAAGCCAACCAGGTCAAAAAAAACCCTTGCGATGTTTTTTTTCTGACCTGAAGAGGGTTTTTGCGTTCCCGCATCAACGGCCGTGGAAGACAAGCCTTAACCAGGTCAGGAAAAGACCCTTTCGGAGGGGGTGAGGTCTTTTTCTGACCTGAAGAGGGTTTTGTCCCGCGTTGGCGACCGTGGAAGACAAGCTTTAACCAGGTCAAAAAAAGACCCTTTCGGAGGGGGTGATGGTTTTTTTCTGACCCGCATCAGCGGCCGTGGATGACAAGCCTCAACCATGTCAAAAAAAGATCCTTTCGGAGGGGCGGGTTTTTTTTTGTGACCTGAAGAAGGTTTTTGCTTCAGCGGCCGTGGGAGACAAGCCTTAACCAGGTCAAAAAAAGCCTTGTGGAGGGAGGTGAGGTTTTTTCTGACTTGAAGAGGGTTTTTGCTTGGTCCGGCATCAACGGCCGTGGAAGACAAGCCTTGACCAGGTCAAGAAAAGACTCTTTTGGAGGGGGGTGAGGAATTTTTTGATTTGAAGAGGGTTTTTGCTAGCCTTAACCAGGTCAGGAAAAGACCCTTTCGGAGGGGGTGAGGGTTTTTTCCTGACCTGAAGAGGGTTTTTGCTTGGTCCCGCATCAGCAGCCGTGGAAGACAAGCCTCAACCAGGTCAAAAAAAGGCTTTCGGAGGGAGGTTGGTTTTTTTCCTGACCTGAAGAGGGTTTTTGCTTGGTCCCGCATCAGCGGCCGAGGAAGACAAGCCTTAACCAGGTCAAGAAAAGACCTTTTCGGAGGGCGGTGTGTTTTTTTTTCTGACCTTCCGGGTTTTTTTTCACCTGAATAAGGGTCTGCAGGGTGCGACCTCTCGACAGGTCCAAAAAAGACTCTCCTATGCACGGGTCTTTTCTTTCGTTCTGGAAGGAAGCTATTCGCATTGGAAGCCCGGACCAGGTCACAAAAAGACCCTTTTGGAGGGGGGGGTGAGGTTTTTTTGTTGACCTGTAGGGGGTTTTTGCTAGGTCTCGCGTCGGCGTCACAGGCTCAGATGACAAACCAGGTCAAAAAAAGACCCTTTCGGAGGGGGCTGAGGTTTTTTGTCACAAGCGCCAACCAGGTCAAAAAAGGACCCTCTCGGAGGGGGGGGCAGATTTTTTCTGACCTGCAGGGGTTTTTTGCTGGGCCCCGCGTCGGCGGTCGCAGGCTCCATCCAGGTCAAAGAAAGACCCTTCCGGGGGGGGGGGTTGTGGCAGGGAAGATTACGTACAATGTGCCGCCGCGCGCCTTCAAGAGCAGAACGGCTCATTGTTGCACATGGACTCTGAGGTTTTTTGTCAGCAAGCGCCAACCAGGTCAAAAAAGGACCCTCTCGGAGGGGGGGGCAGATTTTTTCTGACCTGCAGGGGTTTTTTGCTGGGCCCCGCGTCGGCGGTCGCAGGCTCCATCCAGGTCAAAGAAAGACCCTTCCGGGGGGGGGGTTGTGGCAGGGAAGATTACGTACAATGTGCCGCCGCGCGCCTTCAAGAGCAGAACGGCTCATTGTTGCACATGGACTCTTTTGGTGCAATCCCAAGAGTAGAAAGGAATGTCTTGGCATGCCCCACCCTGAAAGAACCAGCTAGTTTGTAGTATAGAAAAAAGGGTGAGGGGTGATGAAGACCAGATGAACATCCTCTCTTTGGTTGTGAGAGAGTGTGATAAAAGCACACGGTATACCTTCGTGAAGTAGTACAAGTAAGGTCCGGCAGAGCCGGGGGGCGGAAGTTTCAAAGCAGTGAACAACTATAGTTTGGAGAACTGTCCTTGGCCCCTTGCTCTCTCTCTCTCTCTCTCTCTCTCTCTCTCTTTCTCTCTTTCTCTCTTTCTCTCTTTCTCTCTTTCTCTTTCTCTTTCTGTTTCTCTGTCTCTTTCTCTCTCTTTCTATCTATCTCTCTAGCTATCTCTATATCTGTTTATTGATCTATCTATCTACCCATCTTTCTCTGCACTTAAAAGTTGCGATGTTCAATCCCCGAAAGTTGACTTCGCGTACTACTTTCGTACTTAAAAGTTGCGATTTTCGAGCCCCAGCTGCGAAACTGGACTTCACGTACTACTTTCGTAGTTAAAAGTTGCGATTTTCGAGCCCCAGCTACGAAAGTGGACTTCGCGTACTACTTTCGTACTAAAAAGTCGCGATTTTCGAGCCCCAGCTGCGAAAGTGGACTTTGCGTACTACTTTCGTACTTAAAAGTTGCGATTTTCAAGCCCCGGCTGCGAAAGTGGACTTTGCGCACTACTTTCGTACTTAAAAGTTGCGATTTTCAAGCCCCAGCTGCGAAAGTTGACTTCGCGTAC